CGTTCTTTTCAATGCCAATTCGTTCTCGGTGCCAATATAATCGAGTAAGAGTAATGTATTAGAGATTATCGAAAGAGGATAGAATAGATAGGATGACGCTGAAAAAAAATGTAAATGCATCGATCGATAATCGTTTNATTAATGAAGATGTTTCTCGCGATAGACATCGCGAGTTCGATTCGATCACGATCCTTTGCAACGTTGATTCTTCGATTATTAAGCCCGTTTTATAAAACTCTCTTTCTCTTTCAAATATTATTACCACCCCTTTCTGAAATAAGAGAGAGACGTCGAGCAACGGTTTATCGATCGATCGATAAATTCGAATTCTCTCTAATTTTTTCTCTCACCTTCGTTCATTTTCTTTCTGTTCCCAGGAATTATGACCCTTACGAGCAGCCCGTGTGAGCTAGACAACATGAGCTTGTTTCAAGACCTCAAGTTGAAAAGGAGGAAGGTCGACTCCCGATGTAGTAGCGACGGTAAGAATTCTATTTTCCCCTTTTCTCCTCGTTCGATTCGACGTCCAATTCGAACGAAAGCAAAAACCTTTTCTTTTCTTTTTTCTTTTTTTTTTTTTTTTTTACCTCGAACAGGAATCGTGAAAATGTTCCTACGTATTTATCGACCGTGATCTATTTTACCGACACGTCCCCCTCGTTTATTTTCCTCTTTTCTTTTTTTTTTTTTTCCTCCCCCTCAACGATGAAAACGCACGAAAGACTTCGAGAGGCCTAATCTCATTTTAATTACAACGTAGCAGAATATGTTTCGTCGACGAATCGGGAACGATAACGAATGGATAACGATCGCTCATCCAGTGTCAGGAAATCGTTATCATGGGAGGGGAGGGGGGAATCGTTTCACCTTGATCGTAGTACGCATCGCTTCGAAATCGAAACGACGAATTAATAATATATTACCTGTTATTCTTTCGACGACAATTCGAATAGGATAGAGAAAGCCGATTTTCTCGATTCCAATTTCTTCCTTTTCTCTTTTTCTTCTCTTTTTTCGTCCTCTCGCTTTCGACAGGCTTTCGAAGTTGAGAATCAGAAGAATCGTGGGGCCGAGTCTCCTCTAATAATAACAATAGGAAAGTGCGTTCTATTCCAAGTGCGTAATACCAAGATTTCGGGCGACTTTATTTACTTGACGTCAAAAAGAAATGAATACGTTTGGCCGATACAGCTATGCATACCACAGGAATTATTCATTCCTCGGTTTCACAACTATTGCGCGCGATCAAGAGGTAAGGCTGGATGAATCGAGGTGTTCGCTTACTTTTGTGGTCAAGAGAGTCTCTCTCTCTCTCTCTCTCTCTCTC